AAAAGTCTGGTAGGGCATTGTGAAACATAAAGAAGTGGCACGGGCAACGCCACCCGGCACGCTCTAGCATCTTTGCACATGCTGCTGAGCGGTTCCTATGCTGTGCCCCGGTGCTTGCACTCACGACAGCTGTAACAAAGAGGTAATCGTCGTCGAACGATGGTGGTGATCCGGGTGAGGATGTTGGTGGGGACTTGTTTGATTTGGACGCCTTGACGCGCTCTTCTTCTTGGAAGCCTTGCTTGTTTCGGATTTTTTCATCCTGTTCTTGTTCTTCGGCTTGTCCCGCCGAAGTTTTTCAGAAGCTGACTTGGGTGAAACCGGGTTTTCAAAGCTGAATGCTATGAGCTGGTCTGAGAAGAATCTTGTCCATGTTCAGGGGGAGGTGGTGCATCCGTTGAGCACGACATGAGACGTGGCAACTGACTGAAGATGGCTGCAGCACGTTGATCTACAATCGCTCAACATCCATGCCTGACTCTGCGCAACCCTGACATGTTTGCAATGCATTGTGTACCGCAAATGAATGTCCACCTACGTGAGTCAGCGCTGTGATCCATCTTGTGGGATGACCCATTCCCCTGAAACGGAAAATGGGCAAGGCCCAGTTTTGCATGTCCCTTTTGGGGTTCGTCTCGATGTTCATGGAGATCTTGTTCGCTTGCGTGGAGATGCTTGTGAGTATCATGGCGATGATCATTACGATGACCGTCTTGCCTCGCCTTGTCCTGAAGCCATTGGCGGGTTACCTCGAACCATTCCCACCACCATGTACCTTTGCTGTCTGTTTTCCGTACCCACTTCCAGGAATACTTCCGTCTGGCATGTTGTGCGAATGTACTCAATGAGAGACGACTGCGGATAAATCAACATGATTGCAGCAGCAACGTCCGGAGATCACGTGTGAATGTCTGGAAAGGGTGGCAACGGATCAAGTGCGCTGTTTTCCTTGCATTGCTGAGGTAGTTGTAGTTGTTGTGTTAGCTAAAGCGTAGGGCTGGGGAAGCTGCGCCAAGCACCAAGTCTAGCTTCCAATCCAGTAATCTTCTCCTTGAATGCGTCGATCTAATTTGCTGAGTCGTCAGAGCCGTCAGCTCAATGAAATTCGCAAAGTGAGCACAACAGCTCGATCACTGAAGATGGAGGACCCCGAGTGGGACTCCGAAGGTGCGTTCTCTGTGTGTTCTTGCAAAATCTGCAGCAGTGCATTGACAATAAGCTCAAGTCGGTCTGCTGCTGAAGGCTCCATAACCGTTGGGTTGTCATGGCTGTTCACGGTGTCAACGTTTGGGCCAGAGAAGCTGTGGATTTATGCTATGCAAACTTTTCCGGGCGATGTTCCAGCAACGACTGAGCAATGCAAGTTTCT